GAAAATAGTCTCATCCACACCAGTCTTTATCTTATACACCCATTTGCAATCTATTGCACGCTCACCTGGTGGTAACTTTACATCCTCATACACCTCTAAATCCTTTAACAATTTTAACTCCCGATTCATAGCTTCCTGCCAAGCTACCTGATCCTTTGTAGGATACAGTTTTATTTCATTGAAGTTAGAAGGTTCTGTATTAACCTGACATACAATGCTTGCTTGAAATCTGTCAGGTGGACGTCTCTCCCTAGTTGACCTCCTAGGCAACTCAGTACATATTGTTGGCCTCAAATCTTCATCTACAGTCATAGAGGGTTCTTCTATTGATGATTCCCCCATTGAGGATTTCTCCACTATCTTATCATCAATATTATTATCATCAGGATTATCGGTAAACAATGGAGTCTCAACAACAACACTATCCTGTACCTTATTATATTCCTGTTCAAGCTTTCTCCAGCCAACATGCTCCAAAAATTTAGCACTTGCACTGTAATATACATTAGTAGTACCTGGCTCCCAAAATCTACATGATCTATGATTAGCTTCATAACCTACAAAATATAATTGTCTCGCTCTATGTTGTCCCTTTCGCCTTACTTGCATGGGAATATAAACCCATGCTGGGGTTCCAAATGTATGTAAATAACTGAGATGTGGCTTTTTTCCATTCCAACGAGTAAATGGTAATTCACCAGTCGTTGAATTCACTACGTTATTCAAAACATGGTTAGCACACATTATTGCTTCACCCCAAAGTTCCTCTGATAAACCAGAATCCCAAATCATAGTCCTATCCATAGCCTGTAATGTTTGTCCTCTACATTCAATATATGAGTTATGTTGTGGTCTATAAGGAGCAGAACGCTTATGTTCAATGCCAGCTTTCTGTAACATGGCTTCAAATTTTCTATTGGTAAATTCAGTACCATTATCTGTTACTAAGCTAATAACTTTCTGTTTCTTTTTCCTTTCAGCAAATTTTAGCCAATTTACAAAATGCTGGTATGTTTCTGTCTTCGTTTTCATTAAATAACAGAAACCATATCTGGAAAAATGATCAATTATATTTAATATGTAACAGGCTCCACCTAAACTAGGTTTCTTAGGTCCAATAATATCAGAAAAAACAACCTCTAACGGTTCACTGGTTTTGAATCCATTTACCCTATTTGTAGGAGTTACCTTGCTTTTTTCTTGATTGTAAACATTGGAATTTAAATACTTTGTACAAGGTTTTAATTTTATACCATTAGATAACTCAACAGTTTTCTTTAGCATTTTGAAATTTATATGTCCCATACATCTATGGAGCAGATGAATACATTCATCATGAGGCTTTTTATTCTCATAAGCTGAGTTAGCATTAATTAATGGATGAGTTAGCATTAATTAATGTATAATAAACAAACCATTATCCAATCTTGCAGTAACGCTTTTACCCTGTTTTTCAATTAAACATTTATCAACTGGAAAGGTTACAATAAATCCTGCTTTTACCATTGCTCTTACAGATAGCAACTTAAATATCAGTCTAGGTACATATAACATCGGTAAACCTTCATTAATACATGAACAATATGCAGTACCTTCTCCAGATGCTCTCAATTTCCATCCATTAGCTAATGATACATGCTGTTTACTCTTTGTCATGTTAACAAACTTCTCTTTACTTTTAGTTATACACTGCGATGCTCCACTGTCAACTACCCATATATCATGGTTTACAGTTGTAGTTGTACTTGATATGGCTAAACTAACATCTTTATAAGCTCTCTGTATATTAATAGCATTCTGTTTCTTACCCTTTTTACAGTATCTGGCTATATGACCTTTAGCCCCACAAGAAAAACATTTCCTAACAGTATAGGCAGTTGAAGACAGTTTTTCTTCCTGTGGTTGTCTTTCTCTCAGTTGATTTCTATCTTGCCTTCTTCTTGACTCTTCTAACAGTCTTCCAGTTATGCCAGTCAATGTAAGTTCATCTCTGTTTAAAACTTCCAGTGAAGACACATAATCATCATAAGTTTCATCCAAAGAAGAAAGAATGATGTAAACTTGATGCAACTCCGGGAAAATCAGCTCCTTTTCTTGTAGCTCTTGTAAAGTCCTTTTCATAAATTCCAATTGAGCTAACATATCGCCACCTTTTTTTATAAGACGGGCTCTAAACAGTTTATGTGTAAGGTGTATGTGTGCACCCACACTATCTCGAACATAAATCCTCTTCAAAATGTCCCAACACCTAGCAGCAGATTCTTTACCATGAATATGGACTAACTGCTGATCACTCAGTGTCAGTCCAATTATACTAAGAGCCTTTTCATTATCCCAGTTAAAGTCAGCTATTTTCTTTTATCTTCATCATTCAATGGGTCCCAAGCTGTTACATCCGGTGGACTATTAACTCTCGTCCATAATCCGTCTTTATGCAGAAGTAGGCTGCACTTTATAGACCAGGAAACATAGTTTGATAGTTTATCTGGGATATACTGGTTGACTGTTCTTGTGCCATTGGTAGTTTAACAATAAACCGCAATCAGCTGTCTGAATATGAAACTGTATATTCACACTGATTCTCAATATCTCTCTGGGCCAATAACCAATGTTATGATATGTACAGAATAACCCTTGAGTAACAAGGATATGCACATGGAAACGTTTATGAGAGATACACTAAATCGAGTTAAAGTTTACTTTAAGAAATAGCACAGTCCAATAAACAGTCCAGGTCATTAACAGTCCAAAGAATATCCAATTACAAAGTCTTCTTACCAGTTGCCTTTGTCATTTACAGTAAACAAAGATATCAAAGTATAAGCACAGCATATATATAACAGAGAACCTTAGATAGCAACAGCATGTCAGAGAGACAGAATGTCAGAGAGAGCAAGCTATGATCTCTAGCTTCCTCTTATGGTAATTTGCAATATAATCAACCAATCGGAATATAGTATAAATCAATACAGTGATTTTGTCTTAAATCTACAAATATACATTGTTGGTTTATATATTGCCAACCCAACTAATTGGTGGACAGATTCCTAATACAAACTACATGTCAGAATTCCAGCAATCGCCCTAATTAAATCATGAGCCTCGAGCCAAACTTCAAAAAACTTCAAAGGATTTATTAGGAGTGACATACTGGCCTGAGCTATATGAAGCCGACTCTGAGATACATAATTTACAATCACCTATGACCCTATTTCCCCCCATCCCTCTGGGTGTATCATAATTCAGATTGTCCAACGGAACACGTTCATAGGTTGGGTACGTTCATGTGTTCGAATTTTCATGTCCAGAAAACCTGGTTGCCTCAGTTACAATCTTTGTGAGATAAGCTTGGAATTTGCTTCTGAGTTCATTTGCCGTATGCTCCTTCAGGGATTTTTCCCCACCTCTTTCTTATGGCAACTTGGAAACCGGCATAGGAATGTTTTACAAGTTGGCATCACACTCCCTTCTAGCACTGAAGTTGTTACCCAGTTTAATAATGAACACTAAAATTTCAAGCTAACAACGTATAAAATAATCTTGTTTCTTTAGCATATTTCTTGTTAAACATCTTTAAAAATCCATTAAAATACATAGTTTGTAATCTTTTCTGAATTACCACTCGCATAAATCCACTCAAACGTTGGGATTATGCTTAATTTTACAGCAAGGGTGTCAAACTCAATTTCATTGAGGGCCACCTCAGGGTTGTGTTTAACCTTGGGGGCCAAGGTGGGTGTGGCCAGAGTGGGTGTGGCCAGTTCAATGTCACTCGTGTTGGGGGTTCTTCTGATGCCCTGTGTGCTCTGCCAGCAAAAACGGGCTCCCGAGCTCCTTTTTCAGCTGCGATGGCCTCCTGCAACTCTCTGCCATTTTTGCTGGCAGAGGCATCATGGGCCAGAACTAAGCAACCTGTAGGCCGGATCTGGCCCCTACGTTCACAGTTTGATACCCCTGGTTTACAGCATTCAAGGATGGAAGATTGAGCTCCCTTCTCTAACTAATAATCCAATCCAAACTGCTCCTGAGAGCCTGTTTGGCATAGTGATTAAAGTTCTGGCCTAGAAACCAGGAAACTGTGTTCTAGTCCTACCTTTGGCATGAAATACTTGGTTCGCCCCACCTCACAGGGTTGTTGTTATGGGAAAATAGGAGTATTCTGTATGATCACTGCCTGGAGCTACTTATAAAGTACCCTGTTTCCCTGAAAATAAGAACTGTCCTGAAAATAAGCCCTACCATTTTTTTACATATGTACTTAATATACCTACCCCCAAAATAAGCCCTACTTAAGCGCCTGCACAGCCAGCCAGTCATTCCATCTGGTTGCTTGTGGTGCCACCAACACAAGGTAAGGAGTGTTGGAGCTGCCCCATATGCCCTGCTCTGGCTTACTTCAGGGACCCCACAGCCATGCCCCGACACCTGCCTCAAAAGTGGCAGCATGAGCAGCCATGTGCAGCAGGAGCCCATGTGGCTATCAGCTCACTTTTTCTGCTTGCTTGTAGCCGCAGGTGTCGGGGTGTGGATGGCCTGGCTGCAGGGGACCTGAGGTAAGTCAGTGAGAGTGCATGGGGTAGCTCCACCACCCTCTACCTTGTGGTAGTGGCACTGGTATGGCCTCCGGTCCCACTTCAAGCAAATAGAAGAATACTTCCATATATATAGAAGAATACTCCCATACAAATGAAGCACCCCAAAGTGTCCTATTTGCTTTCCATGTATTTTCTTTTTGGGGCCAAAAGAAAATAAGACCTGGTCTTATTCTCAGGGAAACATGGTAATGAAAGCAGGATGAAAATTTAATAAATAAATAATATTCATAATTATAGGACGGCCCATTGACAATCTGATTCAGATCTCTTTCCTTTTTCCCCTCTCAATATGAGCTATTTGTGTTTTAAAAGTCACACAAAACACTGTGAATAAATATCTAGCTAACTTATAGATATTACTCCAGAAAAACCACAGGGAGAGGAAAAAATCATGGCTATACTTACGTCTTGACTAACCTGTAAAGATACAGTATGATAGCTGGCAGGGACACTCTCATCCTCATCCTCATCTTCACTAGTGGAACGATGCTGATGTTGGCTGGAAATTTTAAAATGTCTCAGAGAGTTTTCCTTTGCTTTCTTCTTAAACCGTGCTGATTTGGAATCATATTTATGATTTTTTCCTCTTTTCTCCTGGGATTTACATCCTATAAACACAATATACAGTGCTGCTTAAAAATTTGTGAAACTTTTGAATGTTCAGTATTTCTTTATTAATATGTGCTCCTTTTTAACTAGAGCTAGTTAACGATAGCCCAATTAAATAAATAAGTAACTTCTGGGGAAAAGTGGTGGACTGTGACTAAGAACAAGGAGCTGAAAAGTAGACCTCCTATATGGACAAAGAGGGACACCAGACCACCCAAACTGTGTTCCGTTCTGTTCCTTCTCTAAATGAGACTTCAAGATAGCAGTCTCCGAAGGATAGGCCAACCAGAAACTGAGGGAATTGCAATTGTAATTGGAGCCTTCCAAATGACACAGTGTTTGCATTTCCTTTGCTATAACTTTTCAGAAATTGCCTATAAACTACTTTAAACAAGTCAGACACCTTCAAAATGACAAGACTGAAAACAGATAAGCATCTTCAATTCTTATTATAAGAATTTTTTTTAAAAATAGTTTCTTTAAAAGCTTTAAGAATTTAAAATAAACAGCAAAAAGGTTTTGGATATTGAAACATATTAAGGATTCTGGAAATGTTGTAATATTTGAAGAATTTGAGAATAAATGTATTTTTGCGGGAAAGAAAAAGTATTTTTGATGGTGGAGATACAACCAGGGACATAAGAAGATAAATAACTTATAATGACAGTCAAGAAACATTTTTGTGGAATTGCATTGGGAACTTTGAATCATTGATGTCAGCTGCTCTGTTCTTTAAAAAGTCTGTTTCCAGATGTAGCCGTTAAAGAAAAGGATATGCAAACATAATTTATTAGGCATACAAACAAAAAAGAATGTTTTAAAAATTAAGTAGGAAATAAGAATGCTAATCCCAGAGAGAAATTGGAATAATTTCTTCTTGCTACACTTACAAAAGAGGCTTTTTCAAGTTTTGAAGAAATTTGAGACAAGGATCAACAACCATCTGAAGGGCAATATTGCTTTATGCAAAATGGGGGGTACACAAAGTTGGTTTGTTTGGTCAGAGTTAAAATGGAGCATTTTAATATTTTGGGTGATTCTTTTTGATTTGATGACATCTGTCCTATAAAAATGTTGGATTTACTTAGAGTTAATATAGTGCCCCTACCTTAGGTAACCCTGCTATAGTGCCCCTACCTTATGTAACCCTGCTTGACAACATTTAAAATGTTGTTTCCAAAAAAAGGCCTATTGTGAAAATAAGCCCTAGTCTGATTTTTAAACATGTGCCTAATATAAGACCTACTCCAAAAATAAGCCCTAGTGAAGGGGGTTGGTTGTAGACAGCACAGAAAGCAGCAAGCACACATGGGCTGATTTTGTGCAGCAGCAGCCACAGCCCTTATAGCACAGGTGAGTTGATTCCCTGCAGAGGCAGAAGCAGAGGCAGGGGAGAGGCGTGCAATCTGGATTGCCTGCCTTCCACCCACCCCCTGCTGCCGGTGCTGCCGCGCGAAGATGAGCCTTTCATGGCCATCTCGCTTTGGCCCAACAACTCTCAGCTTTCCCACGGCCCATATGGAGCGTCCAGATCACCTGCCTCCTCCTTGCACCTGCCTCCTTCTTCTCCTTGGACAGGGATTCAGCTCACCTGCGCTGCACAGTCCCAGAGTGCTCTGACCAAGGGAACAGCTGGCTGCAGCTGCTGCCAGATACCATCTGTCCCCATGTGCTTGCCGCCTCTTGTGCGAGAAGGCGGAGCTTCGTCTCGGCGATACAGCTGCAATCTCGGGGCTCCGAGATCGCAGCTGATATTTTCGTCCCTGGTCGGTCCTAACGGACCTAAACCGTTCCGTAGAGACGGTGACCGTGAAGGACACATTCCCAGGATCCCAGGGACATCGCAAGTCCCTGGTTTGTCCCTGGACAAGTCCTTTTACTGGCAGTGGAGAGGCAGCCTCCATGCTGAAGTCGGGACAGCTCCGGAAAGGAAGAGGCTGAAAGTTAAGTGTGTCGGCTGGGTGAGAAACTTCTTTTTTTTTTTGTTAATTTGCTGAGTTTTGAAAGGACACTCTGAATATAAGAAGAAATCTGTGAGATTTTTTTTTGACAAAACTGTATAAGCGGCGTTTTTTAAAGGGATGTCAAACTGAGACTTGGATTTTTTTTTCTTTTCCTTACTTTTTTTTTTT